TGTTATGCACAAACAATGAATCATGGAACACTACATCTAAAACTAATGATGTAATGTATGGTGATTAACATAACAATAAAAAATTAAAAAAAAATGCTTTCCTGATTACTTGCACTTGGGGATATTCCCTTAATGGGAATGTGAAATAATTCTATTAAGAGCTTAGTGTGTGGAACAGCTTTAACGTTCATTTTTTGAGGGCATATGAACCTGTACTTTCCTCACCAAAGGAATAAAGAGAATATCATGTAGGTTTTGGGGAACCTACATGGGGTAGGAATTTGGCAGCAGAGATGTTTTTCCTGAAACTTCTAAAGTCTTTGGATGCAGGAGGCCACATACTTTTAACTTTTAGAGGACAGAGGAAGTGAGAAAGGAAACTTCTTAACGGCCTTAAAATCTTAACTAAAAGAGCTTACATTTGGAGACAGAAAATTTAGATTTTGAATCTTACCTTACTGCTTCCAGGTTTTGTGATCTTGGGCAAGTCTCTTAAGCTCTCTGAATCTACAAAGGGAAAATGTCACTACTCATAATCACAATAACAACATTAGTAAAAATAATACTACATCATAAAATTTTTTGTGAGGATTAAAATATCTGAAGTATTTAAAATTTCTATTTAATATAGTTAAAACAAATTACAATAGTTATACATTGGGAGGTCTTAATTTTTGTTCAGCTCACTTCATTCCTTCTTATGATAAAGAGAACAGCATTCCTGTGAGCCACCCCCCCCCCTTTTCACCCTCCTATTTCTGGGTGTTTGGTTTTGTATTTTTTTAAAAGTTTTTATTTATTTATTTGACAGAGAGAGAGCACAAGCAGTGGGAGCGGCAGGCAGAGGGAGAGGGAGAAGCAGTCTCCCCGCTGATCTGAGAGCCCTATGTGGGGCTGGATCCCAGGATCCTGGGATCCTGACCTGAGCCAAAGGCAGACGCTTAACCGACTGAGCCACCCAGGCGCCCCTCGCTATTGTATTACTGCTGTAAACATTCTTGCACATGCTTCCCAGAACTCATGTGCTCATTTTTCTCTAGGTTATTGTTTAGTCAGGGTTCCATCAGGAAATCAGAAGTCTTTCAAAATAATATAAGAGTTTAATACAGGGAGTAGAGACATACTATCATTGTAAGGACAAGCCCTGCAGGGAAAGTGTATTAGAGAATGAGATATGATAAAAATTTTGGGAGAGATTTTCTGACTCTTTGGAATTTGGGACTATCAAGGAGGACTACTAAATATGGGCAAATTTCATAAGCCCTGTTTGAAGAAATTTAGTGCACTCATGGGCTAAGACTCTAAGAAAAATTAATTGATATGGACAGAGTATACAAAAATAAACTGCTGAATATATAAATGATCTAAGTGACAAAGCAAATGAGAAGGTATCCATAGAAATCAATTTGTTTTCATAGACAAAGTTGCAATTAAACTTTCCTTTTTTTAAGGACAGTTACAGAGGATGGAAGAAGGGAATATTTAACAGAGAGGTGGCTACAAGAGTTGTGAAAGCAGTTGAAGGGCGGTGGAAGGTCACAGTTCTTCAAGAGACAAGTCATGGATTTGGGTCCTGATTCAGAAACATGCCATCACTATACTTTGAGAAAATATCACCTCTCAGAGTCCAATCTTCATCATTTTAAGGTGGGTATAATATCAATCCAATTATAACAGGAACATTATTGGTAAACTTGATAAATAAAGGAAAAGCAGAAATTGTTATTATGTAAAGTAAAAGTAATATGACTAAAACAAAAGCTCCGATTTCATAAAATAATTGCACGGACTGGTCAATAGGACCTCTTAATTATTTTAGTATCAAGGAGGGCCAGGCCTTTAGCTTGAAGCAGGAAATGGGGAAAAAAAAAAAAATGAAATGGAGTCTATCTGTCTACTCAATTCTTATTTAGTATCTCTCTTCTGACAAAGAGAGTTAGCTTTAAGTTCAAAAGGACAAAGCAGGGACAGTTAAGACAGACTTGAAGCCTAATACTTGTGAAGACATAATGACTTTACTTTCGGCAAAGATTTACTTAATGCCTACTATTTGCTGGACTCTGTTAGGAGCTGGGGATGAAAGAGTGAATAGAGCAGAACAAGCCCTTCATCTTACAGTCACACAGTCCTATGGGAACTTCACAGAATAACATGCTGCTGTTTTCAAAGAAATTATGTCCTAGGATACCAAGTGAAAGCGAACAGACCTTTCAACATAGTAACTGAACACTAGTTTTATGTTGAATGAATAAAGAATTGGATCACTGTTGATTAAGAAATTTTTAAGAACATAGGACCTCTGGAAGGAGATGAACAAGTATTAACTCTTAATTTCATTGAGTTTCAGTCCTTTACTTATAAAATAGGGATGAGTCTTCAAACTGCCCCAAATATTTAGTAAAATATTTCATGTGTCCTTGAAATAAGATGGGAAAATTGTGAGATACATAGATTTGTAATCTACAAATTCTTGAATTATGATTTTGAAGTAATAATTATTAGATTTTTAAAACTTCAGAGGAGAATTTTTATGGCAAAAGATAGCCTTTGCCTTTGGTTATATTCAGTCCTAAATTTAACCAATAATTTAAATGAGTATATAGAAGACACAATTATTAGATTTTAGGTGGCAGATTAAGACAGCATAAAGGACAAAGGTATAATTTAGTTTTCTGTTCTTAGAAGAAAATAGAATTCTGTCACTTGGAGGCATTCTTTATTAAGAGGAACAAGATAAATTGTTTGCTTCCATATTAGAGTAGAAAAAAATTGAAGTCAGACAAGGGTTAGCTAAATAATTTGGGTTATGTTAATCTTGTGGCATAAAGACATTTACCCTCTTAGAGTCAAGTATCTATCAAAAGCTGAAATTTTAGGATTCCATGTCAGTGAGCCTGGACTTAGGGAGAGGCTTCAGCCCTTGTATGACATTGGAACTCTTTGTGAGTAATTAGGGATGAAAATAGTCATGGTTCTGGAAAAGTATGTCAGAAATTGGGGGAAATCAGAACTTCTGATAGGACTCAGCTGTTAGGGCTCATGCCAAAGACCACCATATACTAAGTGCAACTAATCTCAGACTTCCTACTAATAGGGATGGTGCTCTTAAGATGTTGGCTTTCTTGGTTAGGGTTGGGTGGAGTTTGTGTATATTTAGTCTCAAGGACTCCATCTGAGTGAAAAAAGGAGAAAAGGAACTGTTCAAATTCCTGATCAAGCATTAAGTGGCAAGATGTCCTTTTGGGACTTATTCAAGCAGGAGTTTTATGACTACAGAGCTTGATTTTAGAGAAATGATTGTTGAATTTATGAGCATTTGGACTAGATGGATATTAAGACACCTTTCAACTTCTTTCCATGATTCTATATTCAACATATAGGTAAGCCTAGCTCTATGGATGCCTTTTATTTGCCTTTATAGTTTCTCTTTGTCCTGGGGACTTTGCCAATACTTTGAGACAAATCATTTCCTAAGCACATAAGCAGGAGAAGAATTTCTTTTCTTTTTTTTTTTTTTCCCCTTTAGAAAGATACAAATAACCTACAACACTTGGCAAGCACATGGTTTCTGGCACAGGTAAATTCAAAGAGCTTTTGTGAACAGCATAATTCAGTCAGTTGGGAATGAAGAACAATATACTTTAAAGAATACCCAAAAGCCAGATAGAAAGGCAAAATGGGATAGTCTGTTGATCTCCTTGGTACAAACAGCTGTGCTCAGAACAGATACCATGAGGGCAGTGGGTCTGAGAAGATAAGGCTGCTTTCCTTTTATTGAGCAGTTCCATTGTGAAGGCAAGGTCAAAAACGCTAATAAAGCAGCAGAAACCTGAGTCAAATTGCATAGGCTACAAGGGCTTGTGCCTCGATGCTAATTAATGTTATCACAGAAGATGACTAAAATGAGAATATTACCTACTAGTAAATTAATAGGATATGCTGAAACATACCACAAGGGAGGAATTGCCTATACTAAATAGTACAAAAGAGATTGCCACTGGCAAATGGTTACTGGTAAAGAGTTTTCTACGTTATGTATAAACTCTAGGAGATAGGACTTAAAGTATGCCATGAATCTTTAATTGAGAGAAAATAATTTGTGCAGGATAAAGTGATGGCAAACCCATACGTCTTTTTTTTATTATTATTTATATAGAACATTGATTGTGAACCATTTGAAAAGAATATGTTGCACTAAATTATTATGCCATGATCAGATTAGATCAGTAATGTGTCTATATTTGCTACAGAAGTCATCAGGTTATCTCTGTTTTGAGTTGTCACCTTTGACTGTAGTCTAATTGCTAACTGCAGTTACATGGAACTTAAACTAGGTTGATTCATTGATGTAATTCCCAGAAAAGCCAAGAAAAATCTATTTCAATGATTTCGGAAGTGGGACCTAACTTTTCTTTATTATAAATTCAATTTTTATTAGATTTACCTAAAAAGTGAAGAGAGGGGGAGAAGAAGGTCTTGGTAGGATAGAGGAACTAAAAATAAAGAAAAAAAGTGCTGAATGAAAACTATGTTGAGAGGCTGATACAGCCTTTCACAGATTATGTCTCAGACCTAAAACTCTAAAGTGTTTTGAAGTAAATATACTAATATCTCTCAATGGTCATAAACTATGGAACCCACTTATTAGTGATTTTAAAAAGAACATGTATCTTTTTATAAAAGAATATCTTTTATTCTCTCAGATTCCAAATCTGTGTGGTGACATCCTTCCTAGTTTGTTTTTGGGGGTTTTTTGGTTTTTGTTTGTTTACCCTATACAATTAACTGGTTGACTAAATTCTGTTCTTTTATGGTTGTTGTTAAATGTTCTCTGGTTATTCCTTCTGTTGTTATCCTTAACCTTGTGGTTTTTATCTTTATCAAAGTCATCAACCTCCTTTTTTGTCAGTATTGATCAGAAGCTGCTGTTACTCCAAAGGAGGAGGAGGGGGAGGAAGAGGGAGAGGAAAGGAAGGAAGGAAGGAAGAGAAAAAGAACTATCTGTCTTTGCTTATCTTACCTAACTTCCCTATACCATTTACCTGTTTGTCATTCTTACCAGAATCCCTGGATTCCATACCTACATGCTCTTGATTTTCCTCCCATTTTTTTCCTAATCTTTGCCTTCCCATATAGGAAGATCTGTTTTTTTGCAAACTTCTAAAATATTGGTGTTCTTTAAGAATCTTAGTCTCTCTCTTCTCAAGATACACAGTTTCCCTGGGAAAGCTCCTAAAATCCCATGTCTTCAGTTATTCGTAGGAGACTGAGGTCTCCTAAATATTTATCTCCAAGTCACATCCATTCCTGACCTTCAGACTGGCATGTGATCAGATTCATTTGGCTTGTGCTGAGGCAATTCAAACTCATTTTGTTCAAAACCAGACCTGTCATTTTTTCCCCATTTTGCTTATTTTCTCAGTTCCATAGCAAAATGATTGGTTCCATGCTCTACTCAATTTCCAAAGACCCAAATATCATCTATGAACTCTTCTTCTCTTTACCTTGAATATCCAATTATTTTACATTCTGTTAATTCTGTACCTCCTAACTCTGTCTTGAATCTTTCCATTTTTCCCCTTTGCCCTAAAATATCATCTTTCACCTAGATTTCTGTAACAGTCTCTTAAATATTTTGCTTTCAGTCTTGGCCAAACTTAAAATATGTTGGATGATCTTATTTATATACAAATTTAGAATATATTATTGTCCTGCTTCAAACGCTTCTGTAGATCCTGATCACCCCCAGATTTAAGTTTACTGACGTTGACTGCAAGCCTTATTTTCTGTCTGCTGTTTAATTTTCTGTCTGGTCTTTTGCTTATTCCTCCCCTGAAAATTCAGTCACTCTGAATTTCTTAAATATTTCTAACCATTCTCATTTCTGGTGCATTGTACATGCTCCTTCCTGTTCTTGAATCATTCTATTCTTTCTCCTCTATTCTTTCCACGCTTTGCCTTATTAATTCCTAGTCATGCTTCAATGCATAGCTATGTGTCATCTCTCTGATCTTTATGATTGATGTAGCAGTTCCTCTACATAAACTCTCTATTATTTGTCTTATGCTATATTGTAATGTCATACTTACTCATCTGTTCCTCTACTAGATTTTGAACTCCATGAGTCCAGGGAATGTACCTTTCTGCCCTTTCTTCAATGTCCAGTTTAGTAGCCAATAAATATTTGTCAAATGAGTAAATGTTAGCAGAGTCCTAACTGATCATAGCCTCCAAATTCAATGAATACTACTAGAATTTTACCTACCATATCCAAATCATCTACATTTTAAATTGGAATTCAGAATTAATCTGTTATTATTCTACTTTGAAAATCTTATTCATATTCCACTAATTCCTGACATGCCATAAAAAATACTTAAGTAGCTGATCTGACATGATAACCATCCACATAAACTCTGGCCCTCGACCTGTCACATTACTTACTATTCTCTGAGGATGACATGGTCATAGTATCCTTCATTATTTTAATTTATTTTATTATGACACATATAATATGTAAGAGTATGCATAACATATAGGCACATTTTAAAACAAAAATAATGAAGCAAAATCCCATATATCAATCATATTACTCAAATATTAGAACATCATCAACATTGTCCAGGACCCTGCAGGCCTCACTCATA